ACTTAAATGATTTTAGCATATGGCTGCAATATAACAAAGAGTGGAAAATTTAAGGGGGTCTGAATACTTTCCATACCCACTGTATACCCACAGTACTGCTGAATGCACTTTAGTTGCAGAGGTTTTGGTAGTTTCCACCCTACCACCACATTAGATTAGCACAGGTTTCCTTCACTTGGATTTGTGTTGTTACAGATTGAAAACATTCGACGGAAGCACAACTACCTTCCTTTCATCATGGAGCTGCTGAAGACGCTGGCAGAATACCAGCAGCTAATACCTTTGGTGGAGAAGGTAATTAAGTTTCAGTGTACAAGTCTGTGAGGACTCACATACCTTCACATTTTGAGCCATTGTTAGGTAGGCTTCTGTTAAACATTGCATTATTTTTTTTATCAGATACTTGGGTGCTACCAATTGGTTGTTAGGGAAAAATAATGTGTCTTTTCAATGTAAAGCCTGTATGGGGGGAAAAATGAATCAACAAATATGAAATTGTCAAGGCATATCTTTAATAAGTCTGCTAATGTTCTGAAATGTCAGTGTTGATTCTCTCCACTAGATGGCAGACAAACGCCTCACAAGCATGTCATGCTTATTTCATGAATATGACTTGAGGGTATTTTTATTTTTAGAAATTTTAGTTTCTTTTTAATGTTGTACTGTTTAATTAAGTGGTTGCATAATGCACAGATCTTGGGTTTAGAGTAATGATTCTATATAAATTCCTGTGTATATTTGAGACCATCATGACAGTGTCTCTGGGTTTGTCTCACCAGGCAAAAGAGAAACAGAGTGCCAAAAAAGCCCAGGAGACCAAGTGAACAAAGCACACACTTCAGAGAAGCCTTTGATTGCACACACGCAACACATCCAGAAAGCTGCAGCCACTCTTTCATCAGTGAGCCACATCCAGATACTGTATATTGTCTGTCATGTTCATATTAATGACTGTGGATGGTGTGCAGCACTTCCTCACTGTGGCATCCTGTCAACCATCCAGACATTAGGAACGGCACTGCAGGTGAAGCAGAGAGACTGCCCCACAAAAATACTCTGTTCATGTGTCCATCAGCTCAAATGCATGATAGAAGGAAAATGTGCTCAAATGATGTTCTCTTATTTTCATAATAAAATATCTAGATGTTGGTTCTATGGACAGGTTTCTAAAACATCCAATTTTTTTCAACTTGTCAGTCATTTATGGACTTGCCTCTGGATATTTTCTGTGAATGCTGTTGATTAACTCATTTGTCAGACTTAGTGGTAGATCATCGACACCACCTACTGGTGCAGCAGAGGAACTGTGAGGACTGCATTCACACATCAAACCATCAGCTACATTTCTTCAAGCATCATAAATCGATTGGTTGCACTTCAGCGTCTGTCAAAATTAACAGCAGTTTTTTAAAAAACACATTCAGGAATTAAACATTTAGATCCGCATTAAACCCCTTGACCTGATAAGAGCAGAGCTCGCTGAAAAACTGCCAAGTCTTTAAAGGTCATCATTAAAAAACAAACAAACTGGTAAGTGTGTGGTTTTGTTGTTGTGGTTTGGTAGCTTGTTGATGTTCTGAGCTGGCCTCTGATTTGTCCAACTTGTGCTCATACTACAAGAGTAGCCACCCTTATCTGACTTGCAGTTTGTGCTTGAACTCCCTGTGCGTCCAAAGGCCTGCATTCTCTGACGTATCTGCAGTCTGTCGACGAAAGTGGTGCATGGCCCCTTCTATTTTTGGCTCCACTGTTTGCATATACAGCCTAAGTAGTCCTTGGATCTGATCCCAGTGGTTTGTTGCCAAGATCTGTCATGGCAACAAATGAAAACCAGAGGTTTTACTACCAGTTCAAAGTGAGAAAAGAGTGTGTCTGTTTTATAATCCTCTCTGATGTCAGGCCACGTGGATGAGCAAACAAAGTATTGATGGTGACTGTTGCAGGTCTGCAGGGCGTATATGAATACCATCACTACCTGATTTGTCAAATTTACTGGTTATCTCACTGCCTTCACATTGCTAATGTATCCTTTATGTGGCAGAAGTTGCACAGTTTAGAATGTATGGCGTGATAGTCAGATGGTTGTGCAGATTCTACAAAGAGAATCTGCAAAAAGAGTCTTAAAATAGCCGAAAGACGAGTATGCGATGGAATGTGCTCTGCGTATGCATACTTTTGAAGTTCAGGGAAAGTTTATTTGTGCAGATCATTATCGCATACAGTGTCTGAAAGGGCTTAGAGGCCCATAAAAGCAGCGGTTCTATAGAGAGCGGTCTTTGAAACATTAGCCTTAAGGCTGCAACCAAAAATTGTTTTTACTGTTGATAAAATTTTGTTACTAATTGCTTAGTCGATTAAAAATGTCAAGAATCCTCGGTGGCCTGAAATTGATGTTTGTTTTGTTTGGCTGATGTTCCACAATGTTAGGTATTCAATTTTACAGTTATATAAAACAGAAAAGCTGGAACCAGCAAATGTTTGGGTTTCTTTTTTAAATTAATAATTGTTTTTGTATTAATATTTACAGAAATAAATTTATGGAAGAAACCTTGGGAGAAGCAGTTCAAAGAGAAATCCCCCCGTCAACAGTCAGACATGCAATAGGTGTGAAAAAGACCTTTACAAACAAAGTGTAAACATTTAATATAAAATCAGCACGAGGGATTTTTTTTTTTAATCCAAACAACGTTTACAGCTAGTAGTAGCTCGAGGCTCTACCGACCAACGCTTATTAATACAGGTGCACCAATGTGGGCGTCAGACCTTTCACCTGTCTACTCCTCTAACCTGTAGGCCAGTGGAGCATATGGTTGTGGAGAGCTGCTAGTGCAAAGGATGATCTCATTATACTGTATATTGACAGCAGGCCACATGTCTGTGGAGAGAGCCAGAGCTGTCAGCCTGTCAGGAGCAACGCCCAGATGTCTGGCTACAGTCAGCCTCCACTGAAGGTTCACAGCTGGAAACAGCATCTGTATCAGAGAGCAGAGGACTACTCTGCTGTCAGTCAAGATGTTGTCTGATGTCTCTTCTTCTGCACTTAAACACGAGCCTTTGTTGCTGTACGGGAAGTCAGCTGGGATGATGTGGCCCAAAGAGGAATGTACTGTTCCAAGAAGGTGAGGAATGTTTTTATTGTACAACCTAACATTCTGTACATTGCGTCTGAATGTGTCAGTGTACAGTATATAACTGTGTCTGACCTTTTTGTTACCTACTACCTGAAGTTCATGGCATTTTTCTTAAACCATTTCATGTTTTGACAGCGTAATAATTAACAGAGGAAAAGTAGCTGTTAGATGTGTGAGTGAATTAACCATTTTAACTTTTAAAGCTATGGCTTCAGTCTTTCCAGCTTGTTTCTGCTGTCCTGAAGTTGCCAAAAAGTCACTTTGTGGGTTACAATAAATGAAATATTAACAGTGATGAAGATGTAGATTTGACATAATGAATAATTTAAGTCTGATGTTTTGCCATTGGATGTGGAAATAAACTCATCAGAAACATTTCAACATTGAAGAATAAATTTTATTTCTTGAGAAGTCCAGCTGTCCCAAAGTTAAATTCGCCTTCAACACATCATGCCATATTTACAATATATACATATTCACAGTGATTTCAGGCCACATACAGTCAGTGAATATTGCAAATATTATATTCAAATTGCGCTTTTTGTGTAAACTGTTGTGTGTCCAGCAGAGCTAAACGGTTGGTCACATAGGAAGTCTGAGGCGACAGATGTACAAAGTCTTCAAGTACATATCATAGAAAAGACATTCTGGCAGCACTGGCAGCAAGAGACAGTTAAGTGCGGTGCTTTGACAGCTTTGAATGCAGTGGCTCTGCAAGAGCTTTGCAAAATAAGTAACTTTAATCCCCTTTGGCCAAAATGCTCCACGTGGCGCCTGCAGCAGCATATACAGTAACATGCAGCCTAATCTTCCCAGCATCATTACTGGGATGATTATTCAGCTGTTTGTTTATTGCTATTTATGCTCAGGATTTGCATTCCGAACTATTATCCCAAGGCAGTGGCTGGAATGAAAATCATCAGTGATCTATTCACAGTCACCATGGTAAACAAATGACTTCAGGAGTTGGTATCTAGTTTGACTAGGACTTAATGCGCTTGCCCTCTGCTCTGGCAGCTGCACACAGTTCTTTGTAGAGGTCAGAGTGGATAAACCTTGGGTAGGAGTTGTTCTCCATCAGACTGTAGATTTTCCTCTGAGCTGCCAGGAAGCTAGTTGCAGTTGGATCATGGAGGCTCTGGACTATAGCATTTTTAGTGTGGAAATCCAAGTTTATCTGTGAGAAACACCCAGAATGAGCTTCTGATGTCAAGTATACTGCAGTTTGCTGTATTTGTTATTTATAAAACATAGGTGCAATAAAATCTGATTAAAATCGCTTTAAAGAAACTTATCAAATTGGTTATTTGAATTTACAGTACGTGCTATAAATGCATCTGTTACCTCTTTGGGAGCTTCATTTTTAATGAACTCCTCGTAAATGCTGATGGCTTTGGACACCAGCTGTTTGTGTGAAGTGAGTGTCCTGAAATCCTCACAGGCTGTCCAAAACTCAATGTTCTCTTCACAGAACTCAGACTTAAGGAAGATGCAAAAGACAGTTTTGCCCTCTGTGGGGGTAGATGGAGAAGGATAAGTGTTAAACACAAGGCTGGTAAAATAGGTCGTGGGACACATCTGTTTGCTCGTTGGCTGTTAAAGTAAGGTAAAATAAGTGCAAAGCCATTAGAGCCTGTGTTTTATTGAGGCTGGTAAACTGCCTCCATTCAACACAGAGTTACTGTGTGACCTTTGAACATAATCGGGCACCAACAGTGCAGAGAATCATACTTACGTTTATGACTCAGTAGTCTGTCAAGTGACTGCGCCCATTGGGTCACGTCATCAGCACTTGGCCTGAGGATAGAGATTGTACATCAGATAACAGATAATTATAGCAGAGGTAAATACTACCTTTGAATCAAAATTTCGCTCTGGTGCAAAAAAATAAATAAATGAATTTAAAAAAACACCACTATGCCCCAATATACTACAAAATTAAGATTATTAGATTATTATGAATGGTGATTTGCAGTTATACTGTGCTATATAGTTTGTCTATGTGTGAAAGGCTCAAGAATTTTATCAGTGCTTTGGTTTTATTCTGTCATAAAATACAGTGTGTAACATTACTTGAACATCTAACATCTCAAACTGAATAAGCTGTTTTCAGCTTGAAGCACAAGCAATTTGTAACATGTATGCACAAGAAGCTATATTCTATGCATAATCATGGAAAAAAACACCTTAAAAAGGCAGCACCTTACCTGTAGGATCCATTTTTCATTAGATGTAATATTGGCTGGGAAGAGTTTTTCTTCAAGAAAAGTCGTATTCTGTTTCTCCAGGTTTTCTTCCTGTTAAAAAGAAAGCGGCCACTCATGAATGCGTTATGGCAGTGTAATTATGAGTAACATCATCACAACCGTGAACATCCCTATTAAAACCTCATTAACTTACTTGATGACCTTCTTCTCTGCTGACAGGTCAGTGGGTGTCATGCAGTGTGGCAGTGCCATGCTTTGGGACTACAAGCTAGCAAAGCGCTCTCATGGTTTAATCTCCTCTCTCCTCCCTCAGGCAACTTTATAGCTCCTCTCCAGTTTGATCCTGAGCCTGTCAGGTGGGAGGCAGGCCTTCACTGACAGGTCTTTAAAATGATTGGCTTTTGCTGTGTAAACATTAACGCGCCCTGCTATGACTCTGAGTGCCCAAGGCAGCAATAGGCTGTCACTACATAAACATTCACTCCCTCCGTAGCCTGTGGGTTTCCATTTATAAGCAAAAGGTCAAGATGTGACGCACATGGAAGACTCTATTCAAATTCTGTTTGAAGTAGTGGAAGTTCTCTCCTTTTCTTGTGTTAAAATTATAAAATTATTAGCTGAATTACAACTGCTCTGTGATTTGTGTGTGGACCCACTAACAAAGCATCTCAGGCATTAAAACTTGCCTATTTTGCAATTTGAAAACAAAACATCAATAAATGGAAAAAATACAAAAGCAAGGAATCCATCATGTACAGCATATTTAGTCATAAAAATACCCGTTAGCAGTCACGTGTCCATCTCTGATATGCAGCTGACTCACTGCCACTGTAACACTAGCTGCACTGTTCAGATTTAATGAATTACTTAAACAGGGTGTGGATCTGTGAGGAATTATTTCCAGATATGACATGCTGGGACAAATATGATAATGCAACATCCTCCTTCCTCTGTAGAGTGTTTAAAAAAAGAAATGTGGGTACTGCTGCCCAAGTTCAAGTTATAAATACAACAATAGAATTAACCTGTTTGTTATTGGTAGTTGCATCCAGTGCATTTTGTAGGTGAAAACCATTAGACATAAAGGTTACATGTGACTTTTTTCAAAACCATTAAATTATCCTACATATAAAAAAAGTGCTCACACTGCCAGTTCTTCAGATGCCCCAAAACAAACTCATGGCATATTACAAGTGATAAAATGGCAGCGGGGTTAATAAACTCATGAACAGTTCGGTCAAAAACCCAGCAAACCTTACAGCCCAAGCCCTTCTACAGACCTAAAGAGACACCCAGTCTATCAGTGAAGATCAATCAGGACAAAGGAGGCCAAGACCACAAGGTGTTCACATGAACTCATTAGACATAAGGTCTCATCACACAAACTGCACAGAGGGCAGAATATTAACACTGATAAGATGTTGGTACACAAGTCACTATGTACTCATACATTATATACATACACTTATAAATATACATAGACAGGTACAATAGCTCTAAGAACAAATTAAAAACAGTTCCAGTCATCAGAAGCACAATAACAAGCTGATAGAAAGAGCACGTTAAGGGTGATTCCTAATTAAGAACCTTCTGAATGGAGTGTTCTCATGGAAAATATCTGTACTGTGCAGCTGAGACACCATCTAATGTTGTAAAGTGACTTGTAAATGTATATGTTTTCCTGGAATGCTCACATGCCATAGAGTTACAACAGGGAAAGAAGCAGGTCAGTCTGTCCAGCTTCCTCCAGGTGGAGACGAAGGGATCAGAGGAATCTGCATGTACAAGATGATCTTTTACATTCTTTGCTCTGTAACAAGAGAAAACAGGAGGGTTAGAGAACAGTACCATACAAACAGTTTTTAATGTCCTTATTAAGAGGAGAGTAGGAGGTTGCACACACACATCTATGACCCCTAGTGGCCCTGTGGTTCCTCACATTCTGCAGACATTCTCAAGCACTGAATCGAGCCAACTTCACTGAACAATAACATAAGCACACCATGACAAACACTGACATAACATGGATTTGGGTGCCATAAATTAGCCAGTATTTGTTGCATAAGTTTATTTCTTTCAAGGACACAAATATCATGACTTTGGCATATTTTCTGTCCCGGAGCAAACTTCTCTACTGGCAGCTGTCTAAAATACTGTATATTCATGGTGTGATCATAAATGAGTTTACATTGATTAAAGCTCATATACAAACCTGGTTTTCCTTGTATTCGCAATGCACAAGCACTTTGCTCTTTTTTACAAATGGGACAGGCTGTCCGAGAAATCAGCCACGTAATCATTGTTCAGGTTTACCCGCAGATCCGGTTTTACAGACAGTTTATGAGTTACCCACATCTTCTCCGCTTGGTAACATGCCTGCAGACTTTCCATTCAGTCATAGCTTCCATGCAAAGCTATGGCCATTAAAATGTGTGCCATACTATTATAAGTACAATGTGCCAGTGTGACACTTCAGTGGAAAAATCAACATAAAATAATCGAAAATAATACAGTCTCTATTGACAGAGATCACATGATGAATGTACAGTAGAATCAAAAAACTAGACAACACTGAAGACATTTTAAAATGAATTTCCTATCACTGCTTGAGAAAATGACCATTTAAGCACAGTAGAGTTCTTATTCTGGTTATAATATGACATCGACATCAAATCCCAGAAACCCTAAGGACATTTCTGTTGAGGAACAGAACATACTGTAGGTACATAAATAATTCTCACAGTTTGTTCTAGATTATCGGTACTGTAACACGTCTGCGTCACCTGCTGTGCTGTGTTGTGTTGTGATTATCACTGGCCTCCATCTCTCTGCTGCACCAGTTTGGAGGTCTGCTGGTTGAAAACACGGCGCTCACTCCATATTTATTATGATGTGCAGACTGTATGTAAGCAGCCGTCTGTTTGGAAGTGGATGAAGTGCAGAGCCAAGTTTCCACTAAAGCATGAGGTCTGTCCAGAGGGCCTTACGCAAAAGGTGATTCCCAGCACTTGCTTGTAGAGTTTGTCCTCTGTCTGTTTGGAAGCTATGGTATTAATAAAGTTTAGCTGCAATCTTAACTTGGGCTTAAGTTTTTTTCTAAGTTGTTATTAGTACACAAATCAAGTTCCTAAAGCTTGCAAGAAGCTACACATACTTAAAGAAAGACGTGCAACATCAGTATGACTCAAACAAGGACATATTGACAAGGCAGACAGAGGAAGCCAACACAGCTTGTGCATATGCTGCAGACTGTAGAAAACACTCCCATGAACTACATTAATTTGATTGCTGCACATCCAACTGAACATGGTTGAGTTTGTTAGAGGCCAAAGTAGTGACACAAAACTACAGTTTTGAGTATTTTATTAGCACAAGTAGCGCCCACCAACTTTGTGACCATCATTGGTGACTTGGTATCAGCACACTGCGCTTCAGTGGAAAGTTGTGAAGTCTGTGGTCACATACATTATTATTTATTTGTTTGTTTATTCATTCATCCATCTTACAATGGTAAAATCCAAGTTTCCCTCTGGTAAAATTGAAAGCTAAACTTTCCCAGATGAACAAATTGCAGGTGTTGGCTGGCTCGAGCTATTTACAGTACAGATGTGATGTATCACTGGCCTCATCTAACTCTTAGCAATAAAGTAATATGTATATTTACTAAATTGTCAAACTATTATTACATGTTAAGCTACATTAGAGCGAGGAGATGATTAGCTATGTAAGAGTCAAGGCTTGGAGAAACAGCTAGCCTTTCTTTTCACCACCATGTTTTAGTTAGACAAATTAGACAAACTAGACAATCCAGATATACTCCACTAATTACTGAAATTTAAATGTCTTTTTAAAAAATAACTTTGGATATATCCAGGACAGCTGTTTAACTCTGCTTCCAGTCCTTCCAGTTTAGCTAATCCTTTCCTGGCTTTAGCTTTATATTTACTTTGCAGACATGCAAGTTGAAGGCTATGAATCTTCTCATCTAACTCTTGGCAAGGAAACAGTTGTGTCTTATTTCACATTTGCTGATTGTCAGCAGGTCACCATTTTAAAATAAATTATCTGCTTTTACGCAGTGAATACAGGAGGTCACATACACCTGTTAATGCTTTAGCAGCTCTTGACTATGCTTTGTGCGTCTTCATACGCCTGTGACACTCTACTGCTACTTGTCTCACAACCACCCTTGTTGCTGTCATCATTACTGTCCTCTGGGTTTTGTGTCTCCAGGTGTGACTTCAAAATGTTTCAATGTTTGTCACAAATAGTAGCTCATCTTCCTCTTTTGTTCTATGCTTTTTGTTTTCTCTGCTTCTTCTTCAAAAGGTGATCATTACTGGGTGAGGAATCATAAAACAAACCTGGGCTCTTGCTTTCTTTCTCATGCTTCCTGCCTTTACCTAATCTATGTTTAAGTAGAACTGTGTGGAGACAGTACCAGAAAGACAGCAAGGCAAGCAGGAGATAAAAACAAAAAGTGCAAGACTCACACAGCAAGTGCATTCATGGACTTTTAATTTTTTGGTTTTTAGAGCATCACTTGCCTTTTCAGCTAATTTTAGCTATATGTAGCCATTTCAATTCAACATTTTTATTGTCAGATGGTTAGCATACTTTTAATAAGGGCATAAAGTAGCAATAATTTCTTGCTTCAAGGTACTTTTGATGTTCTGAAGACAGTTGAGCTGAAATCACTTCCAGGGCTCCCATACAGTGGGGTATGGCTCCTCTCCTGGTGGTTCCAGCCAGAATCAAAGCAACAAATCTCCTTATACACTGTACATGAACTGGATGGATATTTTTAAACTAGGTTGCATTATTCATAGCTTCCTGTCTGCATGAGGCAGAGATAAATATAGTTGACTGACTGGAAAAATATAGTTGACTGACTGGTTGATTTCCTTGTGCTTTCTCAAACAGCCAACAGTGACGAGCCTTTTGTGGACAACCCGATAAGAAGGCAACGTGTGCAAGCTAAGCTATGAAATTACCTGTGAAATATTTTGTATAATTGTTTCTTTGAAAATGGTTTCATAGGTTCAACTTACTTCAATTTTATATTACCTTAATTGGCACACTGATGTTTTCCCTCTTTCCCAGGGCCTGAACATTTTTGGATGGGGGAGCCAGGCTGGGGCACAGACTCAGAGGGCTGGCACATTTGAAGTACCTGTAAAAATAAATTCTAGTTCTATGAAATAATAAACCATACCTTATTAAGAATCTGACTGTTTATCTTAAAATGTAAAAATGAGACATACACAGTGCTTTCTTTAACTTTTAGCTCCTTAAAATGAATGAATGCAAATATCATTGACAAGCATCATATTTTGACTCTGGCAGGAGTGGCACCGGGTGTGGTCGGTCACATTCTGGCGGTGGTCGTTGCCACCCTAGCCACCTCCTGACTCTGCCCACACTGTTTAGCTAGGTTGAGCTGGTGTGTGTCGATAGACTGTCAACTCCTCAAAGTTACTGAAAAACAGGTGAACACATTAACGCTTTTTCTATATTCAGCCCATGTTGATTCATTAGTAAAATGTTCAAATCTGAGGATTAGCAAATGAGAGCAACCAGAGACATTAACAGTTATTTTTTGTCGTCACTTATTATTAAAAACATTAGCATTCTTAACTTTTAAAGCCACTGTCTGTTTCATTGACCTGTACCTAAGTGTATGAGGAACTGCAGTCAGTTTTGGCATGAACTCTTTGGCAGGGCCAAAAATTCTCTATACTCAAATTGTAAAGGTGTGTATTTGTATTGTAGGTGGAGAAGAGTACCTAAACTAACTCCAAACAAACCTTCCTTTAAACAGAGGCTGACATTAAAGAACCCACAGCACTTGTAATTAATAGAGCTTAATATTAAATAAATATTAGCACCAGTTCATCTGTAGAGGCGTAGGCTACCCTATACCAGTAATTATCTTCACAAATGTAGACCTAGATATTTATAAATGTGAAAACGTTACATAACCCGGATGTTTTTGCAATGTTGTAGTGTGACAGTTTTTACTCGGATAAGAGGCATTGTCCCTATTTTGTTGTTGGCATGTTCACATGAAGTTGTGCTTTATTAAGCAAGTACATAATTCAGCTGACACAGTGTTGATGGGGGAGCAATTTAATCAGTTGCATAATTTACTGGTACTGCAGTAAACCACCTGCAGTAACCTGTAAAACCTGATGCATTTGACTGTGCATACATGTTCCAGCAACCTGCACGCCTATCTGCTAGTGGTTATTCCTATTTTCAAAATGTAAAGTAGAATTTAGAAAGGAATGTCTTTAATAGCGTCTTTTAAATTACCATAATTTTTTAGTTTTGACAGTGTAAAGTTATTAGAAATTGAGTGTCATTCACATTCATCACCTTGCACGTTAATAACACTCACGTTCTTTAGTTGCACACTGATCCATTCATTCAACTATTCACTGAAAAATTAAGGCATTCAATGAACAGTGCTCTTTTAGTGCATTAATGCTCAACACTGTAAACTAGTACGGGACCAAAGGGTTATCAGGAAAACTGATTTTACACCAGTGGGCTATGTGAGCTTGTTAATCTGTTCAAATTGGGGCCTGTTCAGCTGGAGGGCTTTGCAACAAGAAGCAGAGAAACAACACAGTCAAGTTGTTTCACTCATAGTTCAAATGTCTGAGTGTGTGTTTGTGTGTAGGTGACAGAATGAGACCAGACAGCATTTATTAAGCTCTGTTCAAACATTCATTACTATTTTGTGTGAGTGTGCCAGAAATGGAGTTTGTCCATTTTCTTGCGATGCCACGCCAATGTGGTGTACTGTTCAAAATCAAGAATCTAAATTAAAAATGTAAAAGTAGAGTGAGATGTTAGTTGTGGATTTCACAGTACTCACCTTTAAAGCTTTGAGCCATGCGCTTTTTGTCTAATCACAAGTACAATTTCAGTTTCTCTTCATGTTTTTACTTCGCAGGCAGAATGATTCATAATGTGGTTGATGGGAACAATGAATGTGAACCCCTGCCCCAAACTAAGCAATAATGTTTTCTTCCATTTCAGTAAGTGTAAGCAAATAAACACATAGCACAAGCAAAGTTTTTCATGACTTTTGTTATCATTTTGTTTGTTCATTATGCCATGTGGCTGCAGTTCAGAGAAAATCATTGACTGATTTCATAAGAAACTGGAAGTCGAGGCCTTCCTGTTTTTAAAAGAGCACATATCACTTACGCACTTAATTTTCATGTCAGCATGCTTTTCAGTGATAAAGGTAAGGGGGACAGGAAACTACATGCAACCAATATTCTTTTTCAGATATTACAAGCTATATTTTTACTTTGATGTAATTTCCCACTGAGTTTGAAAATAGAAACTGAAACTCAAAGCGACCATGACAACGCTTAATTAAAAAAGAGACTATCTTCAGAATTATAGTATATTTGTGTTCAGTTTGACCGACCACTTATTTCGTTATGTTGGAAATGTTTAAATATGAGAGAGCGGGAGCCCTATTTATTTAAAAGAAACATATTTACTTTGTCGTCTAGTAGGACAGAGTGTAAAATCTTGACAACAAGTGCACTGTATCTCCACAACAGTGAAAATAAGTCTTCAGCCCAGCAGAACTTGGCACAGCCCTAATGTTTCCATGCTTATGTGATGGAGTATTGCTTTTAAACATATAACAATCATTATGCAAACATCCCATTAATTTTCTAATGCAATATTTTAAGCTGCTTCTCTCTGGCAGTGTGTTGCTGGCGTCTTTAAACAGACCAAGAGACTGAAATCGAAGCACAGAGCACAACATGAAAAGTCATGAGTGAAATGAAACTAAACTCTAGTTTGCTACTAAAAATGTTCACTTCCAGGTAGGCAATTTAAATAATTTAATGTCATTCAGATCACTAACATTTACAGGCACTTCAAAACTCCAACAGTCTTTGTACTCAGATGGTGACAGTTAACAATAAATAATCCTATGTTTAACTTTTATCTTAACTATTAGCTCCCTAAGAATACATTCAAACAACATGCTTTGGAAAGCAGTAATTAGGCTTATCCCCAGGGTATACAAGACGTTTTAACATCCTATCATGCAATGTGAAGCATCCTATTTCTATTCCGTTTCCACTCAAATAGTTTATTACATAAAGTCACAACTGCCGACACTTCAGTGCAGGAATCTGGTTTAGATATTGGCCTGCAGTCAAGGGCTGAGGAATGGGTCTCCACTGTAGTGCAGACTTTGGTTCACATTCCACACAAAAATATGGATGATTAGGTTTTGTTGTCACTAAAAATATAATCATCCTGTATTCTTATTTTTTAAAAAACTGATTTAATTTTTTGTTGTTTATCAGCCATAAAGATTTTAACTATTGGTACAAAATATCTCCTATAGCCAACTTAAAAAGAAACCATGTATGTTCCAAGCTTAAAAGAAAAAAGTATTTTTAAAGTGTCCCAGAATGGTTCTACATATTAGTCCACCATGGAGTTATCTTAAACTACGTTTACATTACAGGCCTCACTACTCAGTTCCAGTCTTTTTGTGTTGCTGGTTTATATTCATGTTTTTAAATTACATCTATCCAGCTCTAATTTGAACACGGCTGAAGTCCTAAATAATGTTATTTGTGCCGTTCCCTCCAAAGCTGCTCAGTTACAACATACTCCTTCCAGTTTGTTTTGATCAGATCTTCTCTATCAGTGTCCAGTAAATGTGAAACATCTTGATCTCTGCACTGCGATGGACGTTGGGGGAGACGTTGAAAAACACATGAATTCCGATCTGATTGTTCTGACAGTGCTCACAGAGTCAGAGATCGGATGTGAATCAGAGCACATATGCAAGTGGCCCAGATCTGATCTGAAAAATCAAATATGGTTTGTTCACACATCCATGAAAAGATCCGATCTGAGTTACTTGGAGGGCAAAAAATCTGATTTGAGTCACTTTGGCAGGTAACGTGAACGTAGCTTTAGTGCTGTCAGTTAGTTGGTCAGCGCTTTTTGCAACAGCTTATTCTAAGTGGCAGTTAAACTCTATAACTAAATACAGTTGTACACTCATACATGCACACACACACACACACACACACACACACACACACACACCTAATTGAGTATGACTGTTGCATCTTACATCCTCTATCTTAATCTGCACAGGAAACACCTCTGCAAAGAAGGCCAAAGGAGGTCTGTTGCACGGTTTGCTTACGGAGCTCCACAGTCAGAGTGATGCGTTCATTGTCAATGTGCTCAGTTCACCCATATGTACACATTGTATCATCCAGTGGAATTGGATCAGAGTCACTTTGGCAGGTAATACAAACGTATGGGGTCACTACAGGGTCATGTACATCTTTTTTTGTAACATTGTCCTCAGCTGTGTCATTTGCACCTTTGCAAAGAAGGCCAAAGGAGGTCTGTTGCACGGTTTGCTTACGGAGCTCCACAGTCAGAGTGATGCGTTCATTGTCAATGTGCTCAGTTCACCCATATGTACACATTGTATCATCCAGTGGAATTGGATCAGAGTCACTTTGGCAGGTAATACAAACGTATGGGGTCACTACAGGGTCATGTACATCTTCTTTTTGTAACACTGTCCTCAGCTGTGTCATTTGCACTGTGGGGATCCACCAGCAGGACTGAGGTACTATTTGCTTCTGGGTCTAGTGATGATGCTGAGGTGTTAGGCCTTTGTATGTCTTTGTGCTGTGCAGGTTCACCTTCCCTCCTTCTTTGCTGTCAGTCATTCCTCCTGAAGTAGTTCAAATGTTCCAGTTATGGGATTTTAAGTACTTTCTCTGTCCCCCGACCGTGCTTTCATCCCTTTATGGCATCAGCAGCAAGGTTTTCCAGGAGAGTTCTATAGACGTCTGAGCGGAGGAACCGTGGGTACGAGTCTCTTTCCATCAACCCGTAAACTATCTTCTGAGCATCGTCAAAACAGTGCATAGTGGGAGATTTAACGTTCCTTTTGATCTGCTCTCGGGTGTAATAGTCAATGTTGATCTGCAATGAGGCACATAGATAGGAATGAGGGGATTTGGGCGAAGACTGAGATTTGAACAGACACATTTCCTCTTTGAGACAACGCTTGAGCTGTATCTTTGTTATTCAACCTAATAAACAGTGTATGAATGTAAAGGTTTTACAGATTTTGACTTACTTCTTTAGGAGATTCTGCTTTGATGAACTGCTCATATATCTTCTTGGCTCTTGAGGACATTCTATACGAAGACTTGATCTTCTTGTAGTCCTCACAGTTGAGCCAGAACTCAATATTCTCATCGCTGTATTCAGATTTGAGAAAGTTACGAAAGGTGGCCAGCCCATCTGAGGGAAGCACAGAAAGCACGGCAATCATGAAGCACAAATAACAAACTTTTTTAGCTTAAGAAACACATTATTCTCTTTAGGTTCTTATTCTCAAACATAATTGTCTGTTTTTGGTATTTTCACATCCGGGGGAAATAGCAACCTACATTTAGACTCGAGAAGCTTTTCCAGTGACTGTGACCATTGTTGGGTCTCTTCTAAACTTAGTCTGCTGGGAGAAAATGCAAGTTGGATTACTCAGCTAGAATCAAATGTGGTTAAAAAAAAAGCTGCAGAGGCTGCAAGGACACAGAGACAGTCTAATCAAGAAAGCATAGCAGATGTGCTCGTCAAATTTGCACAGAAATGTCAAGCCTTTGGATATGTTGATGTGCGCGTATGCTGTGCCAAAGCAAACACAGTGTCTCTAGTTCATTTGAATCCTTTCATAATGCCATAGATGGAAATGATAGAAGCAGGCTGGCTATTTTAAAACTGAAACGTATGCAAAACACTCCATAAGTCTCCTTACCTCTCAGAGCTTGATGAGTGTGAGAACATGCACTGGAGTCGGCACATAAAGTTCTTTCCACTGTGTAGAGATAAGAAATACATAAATATAATCCTGCTGGATTTACTGCTGTTTAATTAGCTTCAAGTTTGTCTTGTCGGGCATGTCAGTAACAAGAATAAAGCGCATGTGGTGAAATGATATTGGATGAAATTAAGCTGTTTTCAAGAGATATGATGAAGCACCATGATACTCTCATATGTGCTCTTATGTCTGAAAGGTTTGCCATGAAAACAGAAGTAAAACATCACATTGTAAATAGATAATCAAGCATGAAATGGATACATTAACTCAAAACAGCTTTTGATCACGCACCAAGTCATCATATTTACTGGAAAACCCAGCTTCACACTAAAGTAGAAGTTTCACTCACATGTTCTTGTTTCTCTTCCTGTCATCTCTGTCCATGATGAAGTGCTGTGTGTTGATTAGGCTGGGCATTGTTTTGTTAGGTCCACACACGCAGGCTTTCAGTCCTGCTCATGCTGCGGCTGAGAGACACTTAGGAGGGTTCCCCCTGCAACACCGCTTATATACCAAGGTTTCCTGTTGCTACGGACTGAGGCTGACGGGATACATCAGCAGCTCAGCCCAGACCGAAAGGAAGCACCCCTTCCTCCTCCCTCTCCTGTTCCTCCTCTCCTCCTACTATACTGTTAGAAACAACACATACTCACACTGTACTGCATGTATGCCTGCCTCCTCTTGATGCCTTACTCCCTATTATGCCTCTGTCTCTGCTTCCTTTCAGTTCCGTCTGCTACTACGGATCCTTCCCTTCTTCTAACTGAATGGGCCAAACAGCGCGCAGTGGCTGAAAGCATGCTGTGTTCACATTATTTTTAGTCTGACAGCACAGATGCAAATGACAGTAACAGTGACTGTGATAGGCAAATCGTGACCTTCACATGCTGTTTTTTTTTTTAGTTCCCTGAAATGATACTGTAAAGTGAAGCCTGTTGAAGACAAATGGAAGAATTACCTTTCTGCCTTCTTGAGAAAAAAACAACTTTAACATTTATTGATCCCACAAAGAGAAAGTCTTCACAAGAAATGTGTACATGAGGCTTCAGCCATATGTGAAAAAGAGGAAACAGCAAATTTATTGCAACAAAGACACTCAGCAAGGAAGTAAGAATTGTATTGTCAAGAACCTATCAGTGTGGTCAAAGTGTAGACTGAAATTCCTATGGGGAGGGTAGAAAATGAAAGTCCATGCTAAATATCCTGAAAAATATAAAAGATTTGGAAAACTCTCAGGAGCAAGGACATTTTGTTAAACCTTACATCCTCAAAGAGCCGAGTTTTTAGGTAAACATTATGGCATTAATACAGTGTGTTAGAAAATGAAGTAAATGGGGGATTCCCTGATAAACTACTTACAGTACACTCACATTAAAATCTCAAAACGATTAAAGGGTAACATCGGATCACAAAGGGGAGAGGTGGTCAACAAGGTCAAGTACTACAATAATGTCAGTGTACAAAGTACAATAAACATGGATCCCAATGCCAGTGTCTTCAGCTACTGGAAACAGGTGTGTGAAGAAATTAAAAAAACTGAGGAGAGGAGTTTAAAGCCAGGTATCTTTCAGGTGTCTGCACACATGCCACTGCATGACATATATGTAAATGACAGAAAACTCTCCTATTATTCAAAGCTGTTTGAGAATAATGCCAATAACTACTGAGACAACATGGCCCCCGCCAAATTAACCAGTCCAAAGTTTGTTATGTTAGAAATGCACTGTTGACAAAACATCTGTTTTCAGAAATCTTGAGGTTTTTTGTGCCTGTGTGTTGACCAGATCAGCTGGAGCACTCATACTGAACTGAGAATCCAGTGTTCCCTGTTAGCTTTTCGTTTGCTTCTGCTCAGGATTACCACAGCATTCTCAGAAAGAGGTCCTGTTACTTAAAAATCTTTTCTAAAGCTGAGATGGTACGTTTAGAGGGAAAGACATCAAATCCCTACAAATACAGCCACTTGTCTCCCTCCACTCCAGGCATTGGCTAGAAGTGTGACAGGACGATCTCGCCATCTGCCTCTGACTTCCCATCGGTCAGATGGCGTCCACATCTTACTTTGAGATGAGATGCTATTGCATTATTCTGCCTTGTTCTCTGCCACTTAACACAGCAGTTTGTTTTCAAATAAGAGCAGCTTGTTATTGACAGCACAGGGAATTATGAAGGCAGATAATAATGTTGTCACATTGAACATTTATCATCAGAGGTGTGCAAGTCCAGTGAAAATGTAATACACAGCTTCTGGGTCAATGCTCATGGAGATTTACTTTGTATCTGACTAAAATGTCACTACGAAAACATTTCAAACTTTGTTACATACATAAAGAGCCATTTGACTTGCTAACAATTTAGCTGGTATTTATATTACCCAACCAATAATGTCATAGCTAACATTTTAGGGGAGCTCTAGATTGAAGGTTTTTTTTCTAAATAAGATTTGTGGCAAACACTGCTCATCGCCTGATGCCACAGGCTGCTGTGTTACAATCTGCCATTGGCTTAACTGATGTTGTTTTCCCTGTTTTGCCCAAACACCGTTATAAGTACTGAAGCGTTACAGACAGCCACCAAACAGTGAAGTGAAAGCTGTCCCTCACTCTGCATGTCGGTGTGTTTGTGACACTTGCTACCTATGTTTTATTCAGGGTCTACAGTTACAGCATGGAGGAGGACAGCAGTATATACAGTACATGCAGTATAACAGCCTGCAGCTTCCCGAGTCAGCAGCAAAGCTCCCCAAGTCTGAACGTCGTGCCATCAACAGTAATCACTTCCTTTTCATTACCATGGCAACAGTGCAGGGCTATGGGAAAACATCGACAGATTGGATGTGAAGAAAAGTGCCCCACGTGATGCAGGAGATGTGAGACCTTTGTCATTTATCAGGAACAACCCCTGACACCCCAGTGTGTACTCAGATTTACTGACATTTGCCGTTGAAATAGCTGTACTGCTCAGCATAATAAAATCTCATTAGAGCTGTTGTACTGTGGGCTATAGTTTTAGGTGAGATAGCTGCAGTAGCACCTTTATCCATGAAAAGCAACTAAACTGGCGATTCAGATCTCTTCCACATAAGGACGCTCCATCAGATCAAGGTCAACATAAACCTTTCAAACAATATGCAGTGGTCACATATATATAATTTGAGCTGCTTGGATTTCTCTAGCCATATGGGAAAACATATTTAAGATATTATATATTATGCATTTTCTTTTTGTGCCCTGGCATTTATTAGACTTTCTATTTATTACATGAAGACTGGTCAAATGAAGCTACAGTTTCAACGAGATAAAGTAGATGTGCAACCTGTATGAAAAAGCCTTATTAAAGTGAAATATAAAAAGCTAATTCTCCACTTTTAATACTTCTATTTTAACAAAACAATATGAGCTTTACCTAAAGTGCAGTTATTTGAGGCAAAGTGCTTGTGTATCTCTCCCATCATTGTCTGTGAGTGATGAGATTATTCCCTTAACAAGGCAGCACTTTCAGGCTGATCTGTTACGCATCACGTCCCCTGATGAGCCCAGTGTTGTCGTTTAAGCCCCTGAGTTATAATTAGCTGCCTCACTACTCCTTTTTAAGGCACAGTTTTTAGGAATACGGCCATTTACAGAACAGAGTGGGATCAAGGGCTAGTGTGGGGTTATTTCTTTCCAGTTTGGTAAACCCTGCTGCTGTTGTTTGGACTCATCTCTGCACCTAAATAGAGAATATCAGACACCATGTGACCAAGAACAGAATCTCCTTGCTTGGGTGAGCTGTGGAAACTCTTCCCCTTTTTTGATTCATGTCTATCCCCACACCTCCAGTTAGTCAGTCAGACAAAGATAAACCTTTGTCTCAGAGTTCTGACTATGTGGAAACAACTACAATCATCCACCAGGGTTTAACCAAAGTTAGTCAAGACTTCACAATTTTGTGAAATTCCCAAATGAATGCCCATTTAATAAAGACATGGTCATTTAATTCTACTTATCAGAAACAATTTATTTATCATTCCCGGCCATATATCATAATTTACACTGTATGTTAACTGATTTTCAGGTTCACATGTTGTATTTCCAACAAGTCTAAACTCAACACAACACAACACAATACCAACAGCGTCCTTCTCTTTCACTTTCCTCTTACGGTGTTTGCTTTATTAGCAAACGGCTAATAAATTCATCAGTATAACATCTTAAAAACAAAGAAGGTTGCACATTGTTGAAAACATTATTTCCATTTTGGTTTTAGAGATGTTCTTGGAAGAAAACAGTTTTGATCCTCTGACAGAGTGTGAAATAACTTTTCAGTTTAGTCAACTAGCAAGACAAAATGTGAGGATTACAAAAGCAGTGTTGGCACAATGATTTGATGAGAACAACAGCATTCTGTCTCAGCTAAATGTACCACTGGGTCCTGGATTTGTGCGTTAGACTCAGGTAGGCATCGGAGTGCAGAAATCTGGGCCACGAGTCTCTCTCCATCAGCAGGTAAACATGTTTCTGGGCCTCATCAAAGCAGCAGAGGCTCGGCTTCACCAAGGACTTCTTGATCTTTTCTTTAATATGTTGGTCGACATTGATCTGAAGAAGAAACTCCATTTAAAAATAGGTTGAATAGAATGAAACATAGCTGAAAATGTGACTGTTGTTCAAGAAATCTGTGCTGTTTCAGAATTTAATCCAAAGTAATATGGTTGACCCTCAAAACATCAGAGTTCATGGCCGTGAGGTGACATGAAAACTCCAGTAACATCAATCCTAACGGATCAATTTGAGAGCTCGGAGGGGCTTAAAAAAGTGCTGTCAACACAAATCATGGATAAAAGGTTTCTGAACATCTGTTGCATTTAACCATGTTTTACAGCTGCAAACAGAACATCAGGTTCATTTATGTGGGATCATATGTGTAACATTACAAGAAAAACAGGTCTGTGTGTAGTGTCCCTGTTTTTCAGCCACCTGTTAAAATATCTGGAGTCACCTTTGACTTTCAGAAACTAAGTCAGGGCAGGTGCTTCTGGATCCGTGACTTCTTGCATGACTAGAAGCAAATGGTTAAAACCAGAAACTTTCCTTGTAAACCACTTAGAGTTAACATTGGTTTTCCACAGGGCTCATTGTATTGCTCATGATGATGCAATCAGAATATTTAAAGTAGGGACATGATTATGGATCAATGATAATTCTAGATTTTAGGAGATGTAGAAATAAAAAACCACTTGAAAATATCAATGTTTACATTTCTTGGCATTATAATTTCTGTAAAGAGAAAAGCAGCTTTCACACCATTGTAAAGTTGCCTCATCAGAGATTATTATATATGTTTTTTTTTTAGAGAATTCCCATTTCTGGGAACGCTGCAGTCTAGCTGTGTAAAGCTGTGGTAAACAGTGAAGGTAGATTTTTAGCTAAATAATACATTTGTGCTACTCTTGAAAAAACCTGTGTGAGAACATATTTAGTGCTGACAAATGTATGAGACCCTGCCCGAGACTCAGTGGATGCCTCTTTACGTCAACGCACCAGCACTGAGAAAGCAAGTAGCAGTGGAAGTTGTGACATTTAGTAGTCATCAACATTGCTTCATCCGATTCTACTCATTTGTCTTACTGATATAAGGCACCCTTTATTATGATGATGCAATAATATCAACATGGGAAAATGCAGTTTACTGTATATTTGGCATTTTGTTTAGCATGTTTGTATGCTAAAGGACATATTTTTTTCTGTCTGATGTTTTTCTTTTGTGTCTAGATGTATTACTCTGTACCTTGAACGATCAGCCGTGGTATATCTGACAAACTGACCTCTCTGCAGGCTGCAGGCTGGATGAACTTATGGTAGATCTCCTCTGCTTTCCAGGGAAGATCATCTGGTGAGGTGGTCGACCTAAAGTCTTCACATGCAAGCCAGAACTCAATGTTTTCTTCACTGAACTCAGACTGAAGAAAATTGTGAAAGGCTGCTAAATATTCTGTAGGGAAGGAAAGGTTTTTAAGAATATATAATTATTTATTGTTTCTCATGATAAAGACCATGTCTGCAGGCTCAGAAACAAATTTAAAATGGGACTGACTGTGGTGTTTTATTTAAGACCTTGTTATTGTCTCAAAATAAGCATCCCATTACTTAAAAAAGGTGCAATTCTTACTTTCATCTTGTAGCAATTTTCTTAGTGTCATGTGGATTTTGTGGTCAGTCTGCCAACTGGAATAAAAAAAGATTTGAGTATTAACTATCTGGGGTGAACAGCCAGAAGATTAGTGCAACATACACTACGTTAGCTCTGAAGGATACGTAAGGCGAGAACTTGGATCCTTCTTATGCCTCATTTGATTAAGAACAATATCAATCTTATAAAGTTAATCTTAGTGATAAGTAATGTAACGCTTCACATTTTAACCATGTAAAACACAAACTCAGCACTGTCCACTTTACTCAGATCATTGCTCAGTGTCAATAGTCTGTCTGGCTTACCTTCTGGCTCGTGTCACATTTTGCATCAAATCTCTAATTTCATAAAACCGAATCTTTGAAAACAAAAGTTTTGGCATTTTAACATCCTTGTTCCTCTCCTTGGAGGGGTTACAATAGTCCACCAGTGTGTCTGCAAACAGTATCGCTCCCTCTTGTGCTTGTCTTTAACCAGGCAGGAAAGGTGTCATACCTCTGACGCTGAGGGCCTGCTGGTACAGGAATCTAAATGCCATTTGGATAAGCTTACAGCTGCTGTTTTGACTTAGTTACTGTTGTTCCTGACTCCCAGCTGCAAAATTCCAGTAGCAAAGGAATTGTTTGGTACTGATTCCTGTAAAACGGTCATTTGTTTTGATCTTGTGTTATGCATGTTATGTATATAGGCACATTTTACATCAACATATGAAGATTTTATGGGCACTGAGTGGAGGGTAAAACTAAATGATTCACTGGTTTATTAGGAGTGTTAGTTAAAGTTTGGGTGATTTGCTACACAATGTGACAACAGACATTAGTCAGTTGCCGGTACCTCTTTCCATTAGTGCGCAATTTCTAGTGAGGCATTTGTTATCATTGGTGAGTGTATTAGTTAGAGACAGTAACTTTCACATTAGTATTAAGAAGTACTTTTCAGGTGTTTTTCAAGTGTTTTAGGTATTTAGTTGCTTAGCAAAAGCATTCCACTACAAAAGTTTGTAGATTTTATACAGTCTATAAGAAAATAAATCAAAATAAAAATATTAAAATAATACAGAATAACACAGTAAAACACCAAAGAGGATTTAAAACAGATTAAATAAGTGAAAATGCTTTCTGTTAAAAATCCAGTTTTAGTCATGATTTCATGGACGGCTCAGTTGATGTTTTATATTTCTCTTGTCAACAAAATCCATGAAAATAAGATAAAAACAACACACTGATCCTATCAACAAGGCTTTCCTGGCTGGCCATCTGGATATATGTTCACTCATTTGTGCCACAGAGCTCCAGTGTCCAAAAGCTATTCAGGCTCATATGAAACACAGTGAGCCACACTGCTGCAGCTGTAACATGACACTTTAGTTTGTGTCAATGCCTCAAAACTACAGTGCCCAGCTGTTTTTTTTAAATCTATATATGACCTGTTTTAAAAGGTTCACATCTTCAGGAGGACTGGAAGTCTGACGTCACTGAGAAAGAGAGACTCATGGTGTGTTGATGATTTTATTTAACTTGTTGACATAACAAAAATATAGAATATTGCCAGTCTTATTTTCTATAGGTTCCCCCCAATTTCACAAGAATGGGAATGATGTGGTCTTAATTTTCAAAAGTCTGTTTGTTAAAACCCCAGCAGCATTTCCTGGAGCCAGCAGCTGATTCTAGTTTAGACCGAAGGAAAGAGAACCAGAGCAGTGGTGGGAAGTCCAAGAATATACTCAATGTAGGAAAGTGTAAAAAATGAATTAAATCTTATATTCCCTTCAGTTACTGTGGATCCTGAATAGCGCTGGATATCTAATTATTAAACAATAGGACAGAGTCAAAGCTAACCCCTGACTGTGGGCAGGCTCTTTTATACTGGATGACAGACAACCAAGCTGGGACTGAAGAGGGACTGTCAGGTGATAGGGGTCAAATAAAAAAGCATCATGCCAGAAAACATGCACACAAAAGTTGAAACAGGCACTGACTCATATTAGAGCAGAGCATGTGACAGCATTACAGGGACTTTAACTAGGAAATTTCTATGAACCAAAACCAAGCAACTGACCCACACAGTTCTCACAACAGCTCCTATACCAAGAACGTCCCATATATTTACTGACAAATATTTATCTTGAACAACACACTCACATGCTTTCTTTTAATTTTAGTCACGTATAGTATATAAATGAGGAGGCCTGTTGTTGTATTAAAAGCTTTGTATGATGCCTTATTAAAATGGATATTTCACAACATACAAAACAAGTGCTTGTGTGTGGGTGGGTGGGGTGTTTATGTGGGTGTGAGTGCTGCTCTTCAGAGGTCCCTCAGGGGTCTCACTATCGTGTGCTGTGGGTATTTTTGTGGTTAGAAGAATATTTAAAAACCTTCCACAGTAGAGATGCAGAAGCTGCAGCAGATGCACGTGCGAGGTTAGGCAGTAAATTTCCCAGAGGCCGACACCCTTCATGCTTCATGCTTGACTGAACAGTGCTTTCAACAGGAACATGAGAAAGTTCAGAGGATGTAAAAATGCCCTGGCATATTCAGCGTTCACTGTCATCATCATCAGTTCTCTGAGCTTGTGAAACAGATGTGTTGATTAACAGCTTTACTGTATATACTGTAGTTACCAGGAGTGCTAATTGTGTTTTATCTCTGTATTCACAATGTTTCTTCTTTTAAATCTGTATCATATTCATAGTAAAATAAAATAGTTTTTGCTCACAGTGAGGCATCTTGTATTTCCAAATTTTGAATGAACCTTATGTGATTTTGAGACACAGAGTAACAATTTGAACTATTTCATGAACCAGTCAGAATGATCAGTGGAGTGACTAAACTGTACTAAGATGTGTTTGTGGTCTTATCATGCTATTATTCTTGGCAACCATTTTGCAAGCAGTCAACCATGCCTTGTAAAATAATCAGATTTTGGTTAACATTTTTCCATCACGTAACCTGCTAGGTCAACTACTTTAAGTTGTGTTTCAAAGAAAATGAAATGGAAATGACAACAGAGAGCAGAAAGGAAGCAGATACAAGCAAAATGCAACAGTACACTAGCTTATGTCACTGATCCATATCTGCTGAGTCAGACTGTATTGTATATAAAGTGAACACAGGATGTTTGTGTCATTAACTTACATTAGCACTGAATACCAACCCTTTTGGCTTGTGCCATGCCTGTTTGTTGCACTGTATATGTCAAGAACAGTTAAGCCAAACTATAATAATGTTTTAGATTGTTTCATTTTTTTTTAACTCCTGAAGTCGTAGAGAGCTACAATATCCCAGCATTTCATAACCTAACATCATTATTATCTCCTGACTCATTACAGTGATCTTGGAACCCCTTATGGGGGACTTTGACTGCAACGTTGGATCTACTACTTTGGAAGTCTGGTGCCTTTTAATGTTTGATGGTTTATTTTTGTGCACAGCATCAAGTTGTGGGACCTATAAAGCCCCACCATGATAGAAGAATTTCATTGGCTAGATTCCTGGTAGTTTTTATAACCTGAGCTTGAATGAAAGAGACAGACCATCAGTTATATCTGCAGCCAGGGCAAGGCCACTTCTCCTCCTATGGCTGATAATTACAAATCACTGTGACCACACAGCTTGGCCTTTCCTAGTCAGTGAGGATACCGTAACTCAAGTGCCAGACACTTGATTCAAAAATGAACAGCTGAGTCGTCACCTCTTACCATACAGTGGGTTGATTTCCTCCTGGTGGCCGGCACCAATGGAAAATAGTTGATGACTGCTACTGATAGCAGAGACTGCAGCAAGTATCACTTAACAAAACAGTGAGCTTTTTGAAATACTGCACATGTTTTTTTATTGTGTGAACTTGATGTAATATTTTCATTGGCAGCATTAATGGTCCTGGTTCAACTGGACAACAACTATGCATATTAATGGTATTTGGTCAGCTGCTGTCTCCAAGATAATGAATGAACTGTCAGTGATGACGATGACTGTCAGCAGACTATATCCCACTAACTATTTCACATTGAAAAGTCAGGGGTTGTCTGCTTTTTCTATAGCAGCGTTATCTATTCTGTCTGATGTCGCCCAGTGTTCACACCAGAATTTCCCCATCATCAGTGATATCCCCCTTCATCAGACATTAATACAGCATTAATTTTTGGATGTTTTCATAGGGGATATTGTGACATTAGTTACCTAATAATGGAAAATCGAAATATTTCATAAGACTGACTGATTGACAGGAAGTGTGCTTTGTCAGATATGACTTCAAGGCAACTGTCGTCTATAGAGAAGCATGGAACTTTTGTTTAATTTATAGATTTGTATACTGCTTAGCTCTACTGTAGTAACACATAATGCTCATTGAATAAAAGCAGCCAGTATGGTCTGCATGTTTTCATTCTGGCAGGCATATCTACAAAACCATGCCAAGCACAGTACAGTGTGCTCTGTATTTGTTCATGCGTGCTGCTGCGTGCTTATGTTCTGTACCTGCTTACCTATACGGTGTATATTTATATCTGATGTGATTGGCCTTTTTCAGTCAAATAAAGAACAGACTAAACTAAAAATGGCACAAAGGATTGTGCCTGGGGCTCATGAATCGAGGCACAACCTTCTTCTGTCTTAGTCATCAAACATACAACAGGAAAACATCATTTAAATCCCATGACATAGGTAATACTCGCACTGACACTTAACAGCTGTTAGAGCATTTGTTTATGGACATATTTATCTGAATACTGACACAATACTAAAATAATTATGCAAGTGACATGCCTTCGTGCTCCAGATCCTGCATGAAAGTATTTCTCCAGAAGTCTGTGTGGAAGTGAAACAGAGTTTGGTAGACGAGAGGCATGACGCAGAGGCAGATTTGGTGGGGGAAGTCAGACAGACAGGTTCCCATTATGCTGTTTACTGTATCCAGACAGAAGGCCCTGCTTTATTCCTGATCTCTTTGACTTGGTCAGCACAGTGCTGACCACATTATTCTGTTTTTATGAAAAATTACAACTTAGCATATAGGAATAGCTGACTTATTATGCTATAATTACAGCAACTACAGTAAGATATAATATGATGCGCACTCAAAGATACAAGCTGAACATAGAAATTTAATGTAAAACTTGTAAGGTGTGGTTTCCTATGCCGGTTTCACTTTGCGTTGACACTTAGAGGAAAAGCTTCTGTGCAGCTGCTCTATGCTGCTTTTCAGATGAGCCCATTACTGTACATACATTAAGTCCAGGCCTTTGTCTCCATCTAGTGGTAATGTGTACAGACTCATTTATACAGGCTATGCACAGTAAAGGGTGAATGAGGCAGCAGCTTTAGTGTGATGCAGGGCTCAGTAATAAACTTGGCAAAGTCAAAGTTACCCCTGGGCTCTGTTTGACCTGAGGCACCATTTTCCCTTTGTTGTTTGACTTGTGAATGCAAATCACCTACAGTGATGGGGACCATAGCAGGGCCTAAAATATCTAAATTCCCTTGCATACTTAAGGTT